AATTTTAGGATAGGCTTGCCAGATAGTTTAGAAGGCTTCTATTGTTAGTGGAAAGATGGGGAGGGAAGATAGACTCCAATTCTTTTGGCTCAAGCCATGGAAAAGGCTTCTGTTATTGGAGCTGAAAGGAAAATCAAAAGAAGATAAACTGGAAAGTGTTTTCCTGAATCCTTGGAAATGGACTGATCAATTGACAGTGACATAACCAATAATCTACGATGGAGCTATTCCTAAATACAGTCTTTTTTCTTTGGGATTCTGATCCCTCACTGGGTCATTCTGCCTATATGTATAGTTGGAAATTTCTCTTCCCTGAGAAACATAAATCTTCATTCTTTTCACTGACAAAAGTGAAGATGGTACTCTATAATGATAATAATAATAATAATAATAATAATAAAAATGTAATAAAAATATTTATATAACACTTACTATGTGCCAGGTACTATACTAAGCATTTTACAATGATTATCTCCTTAGATCCTCACAACAACCCTGGGAGGTAGGTGTTATTATTATCCCCATTTTACAGATAAGAAAACTGAGGCAAACAGAAGTTGACAGACTTATCCAGGGTCACACAGGGCTATTAGATACCCGAGGCCATTTTTTCCCCTTCCCCCCACTTAATAGTATTTTATTTTTTCCAAGTACATGTAAAGATAGTTTTCAACATTCACTTTCATAAGATTTTGAGTTCCAAATTTTCTTCTCCTTCCCCTCCTCCCCAAAATGGCAAGCAATCTGATATAGGCTATACATATAAAATCGTATTAAACATACTTCCACATTAGTCATGTTATGAAAGAAGAATCAGAACAAAAGGGAAAAACCATGAGAAAGAAAAAAAAAGAGAAAATAGTATGCTTTGATCTGCATTCAGGCTCTATAATTCTTTCTTTGGATACGGACAACGTTTTCCATCATGAGTCTTTTGGAATTGCTGAGACCATATTTGAACTCAGGTCTTCCTGATTCCAGGTCCAGAGTTCTATCCATCGTGCCCTATTTTAAATTTAACTTTAATTTTTTATCATTTCATACTCAAAGAAGATGGAGCCGTTAATGTCAGTTTCCCAAATCTGCCAGGTTAATCTGATCACAAAGTCTCTAATGCTCTTTATTTTTAAACTAATATTGCTCTGTGTTTATATCAGCTTCATTTCCAAATATTTCACTCCCCCCTCTCCATACAAGCCTTATAACAAATATTTTAAAAAACAATTCAGTGAAACTCACCAAGCCACCAACTGAGTCAAAGTATATACAATTTTCCACACCATAGTCCTCCATCACCATATAGTCAACTTTCATTGTTTTTTTTGGCCACACTAGGTAGCAGAGCTGATATTCAAATCCATATCCTCTGACTCCATTGGCAGTACCCTATGCATTGAATCACTTTTTTTGGGGGGTAGGCAATTGGGGTTAAGTGATTTGCCCAGGGTCACAGAGCTAGTAAATGTTTGAGGCTGGATTTGAACTCAGATCCTCCTGACTTCAGAGCTGGCACTCTATCCACTGTGCCACCTAGCTGCCCCTGAATCACTACTTCTAATAGTCATAGTAAATGACTATTACAATAGATGGTTAACATGGCAGGTACACTGTGGTGACTAGTAGATAGAAAGACTTTTAATCTAACAGATTTGTATTTAAACCTCAACTCTAACACTTCATCAAATCCCATGGTTCTTAGGTATAAAGATGGAAAGACACTCAGAAGCAATCTTGTACAATTCCATTTTAGAGATGAAGAAACTGAGGACCAGAGAGGTTGGATGATTAAATTCAAGGCCCTATAAGAGGTGAGATTTAAACCTAGTCTGACTCCAGTCAATGCTCTGGACTACATAACCGTACAATCATTGGCAAGGCACTTAACCCCTATATGGCTCCATTTCCTCAATCCCCTTAAATGGGGATACTTTTTTTGTGCTGTCATAAGGTTGTTATGAGGATTAAATTAAATAATGTACACAAAGAATTTTGGCAACCATATGTTGCTAAATAAATGTCAGCTGTTGATATTAGAAGAGAGTGTACCATAGTGAACTCCAAGTTAGGAAAGCCTGGGGTTTGAATTCTGCATCTGTTACTTATTAGCTATGTGATCACAGGCAAATCACTTAACCTCTCTGATTTTAGGTTTTCTCATTTGTAAACTGGGGAAAACAATATGTAAGTATACCTACCTAAATCAGTAGGTATAGGGGCTGGTCCTGGATATCATTAATATAGGCAACTTCCAGGTTAGGAATTGCCCTCTACCAATGCGTGTTGGCACTGTCTTTGCAACTTAGAGTCTTAGGGAATTACCTAGAGCTCTGGAGGTGGGGTGAAGGGTGGTTAAATGATTAGCTTGGGTCATAAGCCCATTTGCATCAGGACTGGAACCCAGGTCTTTGAGGCCAGCTCTCCATCCACTAAGCTAGGTTACCCCTCTGTTTAAAGAACTTTATAATCTTTAAGCATAAAACAAATACCAGCTGTTATTACTTTTCACTGCCTTTGTTTTTTTTGCCTTCCCATGTCCTGCCAACCCTTAATGATAGGACACTGGAAAATCCATATATTTTTGGAAATACATGGGAAAAGAAAAGAAGACTTAGCTGATCTCTAACTGAAAGGATTCAATGTTTTCTTCTGGACTTCGAAGGAAGGAGAGGCCCCCAGTTTTTAAAAGAACCAAGCACCTGAAGTGCTAAATTTTAATGTTTACAAGATCCTAGGTTTTGTGGCTATTTTTTCCAAAGCAAAATAGTAGAAAAATAAAAAAATTGAGTTTCCTCAAAGCAGCATGGAATGACCAGTATGATGCTTCTCATTCTATGAATAGATAATTCACAATTTGGGAAGCTTGGACATGATTGTATCTTGAGAAAGGGAAAACGTGTAAGAATTGAAGTCAGGATATCCCACACATAGACAATCAAATTATTGTTCTTCTCTTTAAAATCCAGTTACTTAAGGAACGGAGGGAAATGAAAGTTAATCCTTAAATACGTAGGGTATCAGCCTAAATCCTGACATCCCTGAAAAATCCAATGTGCAAATAGAAAATAATGAACAAAACCATCACAGGGATGCCATGAGGATCAAATATGAAAGTCCTTTGAAAAGTACAAAGTACTCCACAAATGCAAAGTATTAATATGAAATATTAATACTTTCTGGTTTTGCAAATACTAGGTGTGTTGCAATGATTATAGGTAGCCTTTTTATTCATTAGTGCCTTATGTGACTGTGGTGACCCATCTCATGATGCAAGTTGCTACTGATGTATGAATTTTTATGTGTATAAATAAGTTTAAGTAAAAGACTCAGTCCCTGGGTAGGATTAGATCCATTTATCACTTAAAGTATATTGAAGTTGTGAAACATAGATGGAACTTGGGGGTCTGATAATCTTTACGCCCTGTTTCTCTTGTTTTCTGCCTTTTTTAAGCAGAAAAAAATGAATTTTGAAGAGGATCACTGAAGAGGCTTAATTTTATTTTACAGCATTTAGAAATACATAGAAAAATAGAACTTAGAGGTAGAAGGATTCTCAGTGATCCTCTAGGGCCATAGAAATCAGTATTTTAGAGATGATGAAACAGACCTTGAAAGATTAAATGACTTGCCAAGGTCAGAGAATGGTTATATATCTGTGGGGGTAATAAATAAGTGGTGTTACCTATAACTATATACGAGCACAGCCATCTCAGCTGAAGGGGAGTGGAGGGCTTTCCATAAAATACCTGACCTTGTTCAGTTTCTCTGATTTAAGCACAGTGAATATAAGGATTGTATGAATCTCAAGGCAGAGGGTAGGAACACTCCTTTAAGGGCAACGTGCCCATATTATATTCATTACCAGGACCTCTTACCCAAGGGCCACTGGACATTTACTATTACTTTGGAGGTTGCTGCTGTGCCATGCCATGAAAGTTCCTCTCTGATGTTGTCCACTTAGGTCAATTGCTTAGCATATTAATGATTAATAAAGGAAAAGAAGACTAGGCAGGATTATTGGTGATCTACATTAGGAGAGGGTGTTTTCACTTTGGGAGTTTCTTGTACCAATGAAGTCACACCAGACCCAACACAAAATCTTTTAAGTATGTTAGAAAAGTTTGCTATTTTAAGAAATCCTTAGTAAATTATTTGTGCGGAGATTTGTAAGGAAAAAAAATCACCCCATAATTGACTTTTCTTTTCTTTCTTTTTGGTAAACCAAGTTCTTCATAATGCTGGGTTTGCATCAAGTGGGGGAAAACCCACATTTAAAGGAACTTGCAATTAAAAATCCTATTTTCAGTTTTACAATAGATTTTTTAAGCAGAAATATTGGTTTATGGAATGTCTACCAATCTGTACTGTTTGTACAGTTTATGGTCCTTGAGAGTTCCCTGGGCACTGAGAAGATGAATCACTTTCCCAACATCACACAGCTAGTATCTAACGAAGTCAAACCTTGAACCCATAACTTCCTGACTGAGGCTAGTTCTCTATCAATAACCACATGATACCACAACCCATAATGCCTTTTTTTGAGGTTGGAAACTAGTTAGAAACTTGCTCTAAAAGTAATGAAAATAAGTTGTGTGGATTTTTTTTTTTATTAATTCTTACCATAATTTTACAGAACCCCCCCCCCCAAATACATTGCATCCTGGAAATTAGATCCAGCTGCCTCTCCAGAAACTAGATGCTTTATCTTTTTGCATTTTTCCCACATGAAGGAATGGCTTATGTATATGATTGTAACAGAGATTTGCCACTTGCAGTTCTCAGAGAAACTGATCATGGGTGCAGCTTATGCTCTGGGGGGCCAATGCTGTATGCATCAGCTTTTCTGCTCTTCCTTGGGAACTCTTCTGTTACTACTGAGTTCTCAATCTCAGTAGGAATAGCCCTAGATAATGTTTAGGGGGAGGGAAGAACAAATGGTCACATCTACATTATCAGTCAGAATTGCATGGGGACGCACAGGAATGACACACGTTCACTCATACCTAGTCTGTTGGAAGGGTTCCTTTTGAAGAGTGCTCGCAGCAAACTCTGGGCTTCAATGCTTAGGAACTGAGGCATCCCGAGCTTGGCTCTGAAAAATATAAGAGAGTTTTGTCATATATGTAAATATGTAAAACAGAGGAAGGGAGCCCCTTCTGAAGACTGTCTGAAACACTGACTAGTCAGTGCCGGCATCTGAAGTCCAGGGACCCAGATCCTCCTCTGTGTCAGCCAGGAGCACACCTGTCTCATTGAAGCATTAGCAGTCTTTCTGTGATTCTGCCACTCAGATTCATCGATGTTCTTGGCTAAAAGCAAGATCTGAATGTATCCAAGGTGCCCCCAAAGTCTTAGTTCAGTCTTGAGCTTTAATATTCAAAACTGCACTAAGACTTCTGGGGACACCCTGCATTTCTAGCAAGTGACAGGACTTCTCATTTGCTTCAGAGATTTCACTAACTTCAGAAATGGATAGATATACTTTATATCCACTTACCCTTTGAATGAAGTTCATTACCTAATTCAGCCTTAGCATCTATATAATAACTTCAACTAAAGCTTCAAGGGCATAATAATAATAGCTTATATTTCTATAGCATTCTAATGTCTGCAAAGTGCTCTATATGTTTGGGGGTTGTTGTTATCCCTATTTTACAGATGAGGAAACTGAGGCTAAGAGAGTTCAGTGATTTGCTCAGGGTCATACAGCTAGTAAATGTCTGAGGTAGGATTCAAAGTCAGGTTGTCCCAAGTCCCAGTCTAGCACTGTAAGCACTGTGCCAGCTGTGAAAGGAAACCAGGTCACAAAGTTGAATTTTCCATGTTGCCAAGTTAGGTGAGTCATATTAGAGGGATAACTTGAGCTTCCTTATTCTATTGCTAGAATACCAGTCTGCTGGAACACCAGTTCTCAAAATATGGAGCAATGCATTTAGAGAAGAAGGTGACAGAGGAAGGGGAGGAGAGGAATAAGAAGGAGAAGAAGTGGGGAGGGAAAAAGGGGGAGAGAAGTAGTAGAGGAAGAAGTGGAGAAGAGGAAAAGGAGGAGGAGAAGCAGAAAGAGAAGGAGGAGAAGAAAGAAGGGGAGGAAAAAGGAGAGGAAGAACAAGAAGGAGAAGGAGGAGGAAGAGAAGGAAGGGGAGAGGTGAGGGAGGAGGGGAGGAGGAGAAGGAGGAGAAGAAGACATCTTGTATTTTTGGCAAGATGGGCATAATCTTTCTATTACATCAAAAGAATCACTTTTAGGCTTTTCTTTCATAGAGAACTATTTCTATTCCTTCTGTTCCAATGAAATTTTGAGTATGGCTCATCTCATAAAGAAGCAAATAATTCACCAAAAAGCATTGAAAATGCCTACATTGTTCCAGGCACTGTGCTAGGGTTTAGGGATAGGAAGACAGAGAAAGAAACAATCTCTATTCTCTAGGAGCTGATGAAGTCACAGCTCCAAATAAATTAGGGAATGGTATGCTCTATTTTAAAGTACAAATATATAAATATTCAGATTTTTTTTTAAAGTAGAAAATTAGGATGGGATGCTGGTAGGTGGCAGCAGCAGGATTATTTGTTTTCCAAAAGGATTCACAATAGGGTTCCTTTAAATTGCTTCCCTCTTTCATTTAAAATAAGATTTAATTTACAAAAATTTTAGCTTATGTTCCACTTTTCAGGAAGCTCTCTGTTGTACAAAATGGCAAGTGTATGCACCGTCAGCAGGGCTGGGGGTGGAGGGTGGCTAAGCAGACTAGCTCTTGGATTCTTCTGCTGGCTGTAATTTTATTCTCTTAATTGTGAGTTTGTAGATGCCTTTCCAGAATGCACTGTCTCCTCCCTCCCTCCTCTCATTCGTTTTCCCATGCCTATCTTCCCTCTTTCTTTTTTGACTTTTGCATTTCCTGAAACTATGAGGGAGATAAGGATATGCTTAAATGGTAGATACACTGCCATGTTCAGGTTTCTTTATCCCCCAAACCAAGTCTAAGTGTAAAAAAAAATTCTTGACAGTAATTAGGATAATGAGCTAAACTAAGTTATTATAATTATTATTTTTTGCCAAGAACAATTTGCAAATAAAGGATAAAAAATGTAATCAGGGACTTCCAATGAATGAACTAGGGAATGGTAAGGAGACTCAGCCAGCAAATGGATGCCTTTAGATTTGATTTTAATGCTTAGAAAAGGTGGCACATTAATTATAAAGGTAGACAGGTTCCTCTAACAGCTATTAATTAGGATCGTCCAGGTAGAAATAGTTTAAGTTTTCCACAATCACCCCATCATATTCCAGGAAAGTTGTCTAAGAAGAGGGAATCTGTCCTTTGCCTTGCTTAATGCTTGATTTCTCAATGGAGGCTGTATTCTCACATTAGAGTGAATGCTAGGGCCAGGACTGGTTTTATCAAGACTGTTAAGAAGGCAAAGTGGTTTTGGGGAACCCCCTCAAATGCTGCCCTTTTCAAAAATCTCACTCTTCCAAGGACCCGGTATCAGAGTCTTTGGCTCTGTCTTAGAGGGAAGGAAGTTATCTGGTTAAAGTGTTAGTACAGGTAATACTTGTGTTGAAAGGTAGTGTGGGTACTGGATAAGGAGTTGGGTTTGGAGGCAGGAAGACCATTTTTCAAGTCTTACCCTTGGCACATTCTAGCTGTGTGACCATGGGCAAGTTGCTTGGTTCCAGGGAACTCTCTAAAAACTATTACTAGCTGATCTGCCTCACTGGAAGGAATTTTCATTAGTGTGGGGAATTCCCTAAGTGGATGAAAGTATAGATCAAGATCAAAATCTGAGCTTATTTACATTTTCAAAGACTATAAGGGCAATGACTTAAAGGAATGAATATTTAATTTTGGTAATTTATTTTTGTACTAAAGCAACTGAATAAGAATATATTTGGGGACGAGGACACCTGTCTAGTGCCCCTGAAATCACCTTGAATTTATTGGGAGTTCTACTAAGGACATCTAGAACTTTAAGTAGAAAGCACAATAATGACTCAGAGCAGGGGTTCTTAATTTGGGGTTTGTAAACTTTTTTTTTTGATAACTGCATTTCACTACAATTGATTTCCTTCATTTGTATTTTATTTTATGCATTTCTGTTTTTTACTTTAGGATGAGTTTGCAGGTTTCATCAGACTGACAAAGGGACCTAATCAACCACAATAACAAACAAACAAACAAAACTAAGAATCCTTGATGTGGAGGTTAGGCTAGATCTAGAGAAGTCTGGGAATGTGAACCTAGACTAGAGAGTGCCTGGTTGGCAAAAAGCTGTCAAGGATATATGTTTATTCCTGAGATAGCTTAGGATTGTATCTGTGTTGAACCTGGGTAATACTATAAATATAGTCCCTCAGAGGCAACTTAAGCTATGCACCCCGCCTCCTTCTTATGGATCACCAGATGAAATCAATTTCCGATGCAGAGCAGGTTTTTGCAATGATGAGCAAGGCATGTGTTGTGAAATTGATAGGACAGAACATCTCTATCTACAGAGCTAGTATGAGGGATAAAGAGAAAAAATTAAACTTGATTTCAGGCATGGATTCAGGAGTCTTGACCAATCATTATTGATTGCCTACAGTCTGCTATTGAGAAGTTTCTGGATTACCTAGAGCAAGGAGGAAGATGGCTGTATTTCTTTCTATTCCAGCAATTGCAAAATGATGCTAATCACCATCAGCATCTGGCAGAGAGACAGTGACCCACCCAAGGTCAATCAGAGCAAGCCAGATGCAGAGAGGAATGAGAAGAGAATCTTTTTCCCAATCAGTTGGTCAACACTCTTCTCTTGCTTTCCTGAATCCACTAAATCACACTGGCTCTTGGCTTTTGTGGTGGCCAAAGCAAATGACTCAGTTCAGAACCCTTGCTGTTAACATAATTAACTTTTACTTGGGGTTTTTACTAACAAGTCACTAAGGTTAGAGTAACTGATCTTTCAGGGGTCCCCCTTCACTTTCTAGGTGGCAAGGTGGATAGAGTGATGGCCTTGGAGTCAGGAGGACCCAAGTTCAAATCCAGCCTCAGACACTTACTAGCTGTATGACCCTGGGCAAGTCACTTAACCTTATTTGCCTCAGTTTCCTCACATGTAAAATGAGCTGAAGAAGGAAAGGGCAAACCGCTCCAGTGTCTTTGTCAAGAAAATACCCAAAATGACTAAAGCAACTCAACAACAATAACAACCAACTCTAGGATAATAATAGTTATAATAATAACAACTATTATCATGTGATATAGCATTTTATGATTTGTGTTGTTGTTGGGGGTTTAGTCATTTAGTCATATCTGATGCTTCATGACCCTGTGGCTCATAATGTCCATGGGGCATTCTTGGCAAAGATGTTGGGGTGGCTAGCCAAAGGTTGGCAAAACTCCTTACAAATATGCCATTTTATCCTCATAACAATTTTGGCAGGTAAGTGTTGTGGGATTCTGATGGCAAACATCAATTCTTGGTTAGAGAGTTCACCAGAATCTTTCAGTATGATTTCCCACACCCAGACATTTATTTCATGCATAGATGGAAGTTAAGTTGATATTCTGCAACTAAATATATTGCTAATAGTCTATTGTTATTTCCAACCACCTACTTAAGATTTGTACTCTTAGAAGCAAATGTAGAGCTTGACATCATACAGTACTATTAAGAACTGCACCGGACTAACATTTCTCTAATCACACAGGCTGTTTCTGCCCCAGCCAAGCTCCTACCTTCTTCCTGGTAACCCCTCCCTTCTGTCCTCTCTCTTTTTTGAAATCCATTTTTGTAATCCTCTGTTGGTTTGCAAACTTCCAAATTAGGAATTTCCAGCTTCCTAGATAATTGGCAACTCTCTGTTTGTGAATTAGGAAAACAGACCATAGCCATCTGAGCAGAAGGGGTGTGTGGGGTGGGGGAGCTTCTGTAAAATACCTGGTCTTGTTTAGTTTCTGAGTTGCCATGATGGAACCAGGAACATTGCCTTTTGAGGGTTCAGGGTAAATATGCAAAGGGTTTTGGGGGTATGTTGTGGCAATACCATAATAAAGTATGACTTTGTACAATGTTATCAGGTCCGTCATGCCCAAGGCTCCTGGGTGATATCATTGATTATATTCCTTCATGTTCTGCCTTAGTGGTGTTCGCCCTAGTTCCAGGGTACGGAGCGAGTAGGTTAGTCAAGTTTGGAGATGGCAGCTACAGTCTCTGTTTGGGTGATGAATCCTGATGTCTTAGCACCTTTGCCCTGTGGGTCCTGCTTCCCCCACAGTGCTCCCTTGGTTGTCTCCAGTTAAGCCTTTAAAGCAGAGGTTATTACCAATTTGTTTCATGGACCTCTTTGGCACTCTGGTGAAGCCTATGGACCCTTTCTCAATTAGATATTTTTAAATGCATAAAAACAAATAACATTACCAAAAAATTACACTTAATTATGAAAAAAAATTAAAAGTTCTCAGATCTCATATTAACCCCTGCTAAATCAATAACCTTTTGCATTGTCTGAATCATCTGATTCTCCTGAGAAACTCTCCTTACTCCTAGCAATCAGCCATAATAATGAGAATGTGCTCAAATGATGAGTTTTATTACTTACTTGAGGATGAGGGCCATGGTCTCCTTTCTGTCCTTTCCTTGGAATGGTAGTGACCCTGTCAGCATCTCAAACTGCAGAATAACAAATAAAATGATGAATCCCATGGCCATATACTCACAAACTATAGCTATATAAACTTAGTGACTTGGTGACCCAGGCAGCAGAAAACACAAATCAGTCTTGTATAGGTTAGAAAATCAACTCCTTTAAAAGCAAATGCTTTGGAAAGTAGACAGTGACATCAACTATATTTGCTATATTTATATAGTTATAAAATAATTTTCTCATTTGACCTTTACTATAAAGTATATAAGTATTATCCTTATTTCCATTTTACATATGGGGAAACAGTCTCAGAGAAGTTAACTAATTTGCTTTAGTAAGTAGAAAATGGCAGAACTGGGGTTCAAGCCCAGATCTTTTGATTGTAAATGCAAGACTCTTCCTAACACACCATGGATATAAGAGATGCCAAATACGCTGGATGGAGTTTTATGCTGTCGGGTGATAGACCTGAAATGGAAATAGAAAATCACAATACATGTGCCCTTACCACTCCAGGTAGAGAAGAGTACTAAATGGATAGCTGCTAGGCTGGAATCTCTAATGAAAAGCAAGTTTTGAGGCTTGCCTTTTTCCAAACAATAAATTTCTTTCAAGTGCTCATTTCCCGTAGCCCACAAAGCTTTAAATTAGATGTAAGCTGGCAGTAGTGGAGCATTTACATGGTCTTATCACAGTAGTACTAACATCTGGCTAGTTCTGATTTATAAGCTACAGCTCCTACTCCCCCTCCTCCCTCCCCAAAAGACCAGCCCTTGATAAGATCCCTATTCTAATTGAAGGGAGCCAAGTATCATTCTCTCCATGGTTCTTTGGCAGTCTAAGTTACAAGGGAGGGCAGTCACGGAGCAGATGTTTATGTGATCTTGTTAAATTTGTACCATGCTTAATTGCTTAGGCTAACGTGGTGGCATATTTCTCCATCTCATTTTTATTGCCACCCCCTTGAAATTCAGGCCCCACTTCTGAAAAGCTATTTTCAGATCTCTGCCTGTTTGGGTGGTTGGAGACAGCTCGACAATAATCAAATGTGCTGTCCTTTGCATACGAGGATGGCGATCACAAGAGCGTGACATTCACACAGGGGTTTAAAATTTGCCAAGTATTTTGCGTACAGTCTCATGTGGACCTCACCACAACTCTCCGAAGTAGGGCACTACAGATGGTTTCCTTCCAAACTCAGGTCAACAACCATCTATTTCATGAGACCTTTCCCGATTGCACCCGGCTGCTAGTGCCTCTCCCTCCCCCACTGCCTAGTATTGATTCTGTATGTGGAAGGATAGGGAGGGGGGAGGGGGAGAGAGGAAGAAAGAGAAGGAGGAGAAGGGAGAACATAATGAATTTATAGCTTCAAAATTAGGGAGACCTGGATTTAAATCTTGCCTTTGACACACACATGCTGTGTGACCCTGAACAAGTTACTTAAATTATAGTGCTCCAGAGGCTACTCTCCAAGAGAAATCTGCTTCGGTAAAGGGAGTTTCCCCAATACTAATCACAGATCCAATCTCGCTCTCACTTCTCCTCCCCTGCCGGCTACAAATCACGGCTTGATTTCTTTTATTTTTGATTTCTTGATTGTTTAGATTTAAGAAAGGAATGGAGAAAACGCTGATAATGCAGATTAAATCTAAAAGTGTGTCTCACATGTATATCTCCCCTTCCTCTCCAGAGCTGGTTATTAAACATTTACCATCACAACCTCGCTTTTATGTGTTGTCTTCCTCTATTAGAATAGAAGCTCGTTGAGGATAGGAAAGATAGTTTTGCTTATTATTTGCATTTTTTTTTTGCTTATTTTTGCTTATATTTGCATTCCTAGTACTTAGCACAGAGCTTGGCATGCAGTAAGTGCTTAAAAATGCTTTATCTATTAGGATAAGGAGGTACAAAATTAGCTAGTTGTGATGGTCTAAAAAAAAGTTATGATGCACAGTAAAAAAGGGGAGGGGAGGGGAGTATCATCTTAGGCACAAGGCCCCAAATAAGAAAGGTTTATTCTCTGCTGTGATCTGACATATATAGACTACATCTGTGGGGCCTTCTACATTTTGAAAGGCATTAGCAAGCTTGAAGCTCATTTACAGTAGATCAAACAGGATTGTGAAAAGCCTGAAGCCTGTGGCACATGAGGACATATTGAAGCACTGGGAAGGTTTCCCAGAGAGGAAAGACCCAGGATGGGCAAGATGGTGTTGATCAATTACTTGAAGGGTGGGCCATATGGAAGAGGAATCAAACTTTATTTTTAGTTTGGACCTAGAAAGCAGAACTAGAAACAATGGGTAGAAGTTGTAGGGAGACTGATTTGGCTTGATAAAATAAGGGGGAAAAAATCTTTAACAATTCATAGGGCATCTAAGCAGTCTGGTGGATTGAGTGCTGAGCCTGGAGACAAAAAGACAGGCATTCAAATGTGGCTTCTGACACTTAACCAGCTGTGTGACCCTAGGCAAGTCATTTAACCCTGTTTGTCTCAGTCTCTCATCTGTAAATGAGTAATTATCTTTTCTTTTTTTCTATTTTACTATGTTATGGAAATGCTTGTTTTATTAAGTTCAGAATAAAATAAATAAAAAAGTATTTGCATATTGAAAAAAATAAGCTGGAGAAGGAAATGGCAAATCACTCCAGCATCTCTGCCAAGAAAACCCCAAATGGGGTCACGGAGAGTCAGCTATGACTAAAAAATGACATAACAATTCAAAAATGTCCAACAGTGGAGTAGATGTCTCAAGTTAAATCATAAGCTTTCCTTTATCTAAGTTAAAATGTGCTGAATAAAACACATTGCTATTAATAAAATATTTATACTACTGATATTCAATAGCCTATTTTTTTCTTTGAAGACTTCTAAGTCCCACAATAGGCTGGGACAGCAACAAGATGCTAGCCATACAATAGGCACTCAATGATACTTGTGGGCCCGATTTATATAGCACTCAGTGCTATCTCTGGGTCCATGCTGCTGCTTAACATGTGCTTCTTAGTGAGGATCGTGGTCATACTTGGTATATTTTTTTTTTAAGCTGTCATCAATCTACTGACATTTCATCTCTATTTCCTCAACAGCCCCTCACAAATCCAGAGAAGGAGATCATTTCATTATGACTGCCAAGAATAGAGTCACTCAGGAGTTGTTTGAAGGCATTTTATCATTCCATTTAATCAGGAACTGATTTATATGAATCCCTGGAACATTATGCATATTAAGCCTTTTGGCTCGGGTAGACCACATTGCCGTACTGACCAAGTTATCCAACGCACATTGAAAAAAGACAGCTCACCTTTGAGACCCAGGCTATAGCAGAATGTGCTTAACAAGAGCTCCTGGAGAATCATTTACAAATTACCACCTGTTAAGGCCAGACCCTGATGTTCTGCTGAGTGGGTTTTACATGGAGCCCTGCCCCCATTTGGGCCATAGATTCAGTATCTACCCAGTCATCAGGATGGGCTTCACAGCTGCTGCTGTCTTCTGTTGTGCCTCTGACTAGAAAGCAAGAAATAGGACAGTAGCAGAGAGATCCCTAAGTGGACACTTCCTTTACTACCAAAAGACTGAATCCTGGATATAACTATGGCTCAAGCAGCCCTGTAGGGGAAAGTCTTCAGGGCCCAGCGAAGGTGGGACCCTTCATGGTTCATGAAGTGGGTCTTTCTGGGGAGTGAGGGGCTAAAAGTCAGACATTTTACTTGGTGGCCCAGACTTTAAATTTATGTCACTGATGGAAATCCTCAAAGTAAATTAAAGGTGCTATTTTAATCCTAAAGGTTATACAATATATATTCACAGTTCATTTGAACAAATATTGATATATACATGGTAGGTGTTAGATGAAATGCAAAGTGGGACATTCATGTCTGTGTATATGTACATACAGTAGAATGGTCATGCAAATTACCTGTTTATTCTTCTATAGCTGTCTTGTATTGGGGACTGACTACATATCTTTTTTTTTTTTTGGCTAGGCAATAGGGTTAAGTGACTTGCTCAGGGTCACACAGTTAGTAAGTATCAAGTGTCTGATTCTGGATTTGAACTCAGGTCTTCCTGATTCCAGGGCTGGTGCTCTGTCATATCTTTTATTTAGATATCTTTGTATGTATAAATACCTGTCATACCATAAGGAATTCTTTGAGAAAAACCAGCCTAAATAATGTGAAAGTAACCCTTTGTCAGTAAAAATGCTTCTACCTACAAAATTCTGCAAGGAAGGGACACAAAAAGACCAATGTAAGATGATCCTATAAATAAGATGTTTTCTGGAGGCTGTGTGATACTAATACCATTGACCTGGAGACTTGGACCCTAGTTCTGGTTCTGCCACTAATTAGTGGTATGAGTTTGGGAAAGTTTGGATTTCTTTTTCCTCATCTGTAATCTGAAGGGACTAGAATATTGTTGCTGCTAAATCATTTTTCAGTCACGTCTGAGTCTTTGTGATCCCATTTGGGTTTTCTTGGCAAAGATATTAAAATGGTTACAATTTCCTTCTCCAGCTCATTTTACAGATGAGAAAACTGAAGCAAATAGGGTTAAGTGACCTGCCCAGGCTCACACAGCTAATAAGTGCCTGAGGCCAGATTTGAACTCAGGAAGACGTCTTTCTGACTCCTGTCCCAGAACGCTATGCACTATGGCGCCACCTAGCTGCCCTGATGGGACAGAACTAGATAATTACTAAAATCCTTTCCAGTTCTTGGATTTTGAGTTTATGAAATAAAAAAAAATCTCTCAATGCCTAGGAAACTCTCTAAGACTATAACGAACAGGAATTGCCGGTCAGCATGAGTGGAGGGTATTTCCACACTAGGAGTTCCCCATATCAAGTAAATAATAGGTTGGGACAGAAAAAGAAAAAAGAAAAAAAGTCCACAAGAATTAATCAAAACATCTACGTGGAAAGCAATTTCCAGCCTGATGTAGCAGTATGCTAATAATTTCCTAAGGACGTAAATATGAATACTATTTTAAAAAATGTTTTTATCAAGTCACAAGTTT